CTCTCTCTCTCTCTCTCTCTCTCTCTCTCTCTCTCTCTCTCTCTCTCTCTCTCTCTCTCTCTCTCTCTCTCTCTCTCTCTCTCTCTCTCTCTCTCTCTCTCTGCGGTCGCGCGCCGCACACAGACGCCGGCAGCGCTTTGACAGCCGGCTCATCTCAACTACTGACATGCCTGCATTAGCAGCCACCTGACGGTTGTCCAGTGGGAACAACATCATGCATCGAAGACGGCAGTCTGGTTGGCACCTACGCCCGCACGCGGACGGAACTAGTAGGTCTACTACAGCAGGGGCTCGCGTGACCAGCGACTCGGCGCATGAAATTACGCCCGTTTCAGAGATTTCGTTCGCGATAGTGAATTCGCAATTCCCATACTATCAGGAGCTAACAATACATGTATTTGTTACTATATATACATTATATAGCATGCAGTGCATACTTACTATATACGTATTAAACCACTGATGCTGCTGTTGTTGTTGCATTTAATGTTATTCATAAGGAGAAGAAGGGGGAGGTAGAAGTGCAGAAGGAGAAAAAGAATAAGCAAGAAGAAGAGGAGGGTGGGTATGAGGAAAGAAGGTGGTGGGAACATGAAGGAGAAGTGAGAAGAAAGGAGCAGAAGAAAAGCAGGAACAGAGAAGGCAAGGGAGGTCAAGATGAAGAGAGTTTTAATGATAATCCTGCGAGAAACGTACTTACATTTTAGATAGTGACGTGAGATGTGTAAAAACTCCATCGGTAAGTGTGCTGAACTGGTTTCCAGCAAGAGACCTGCAAAACATAACGAACAAAATCACAAACCTGTTTGAAGTACCGCACCGTTCCACACCAAAACTCATCGAGGTATACGTCCGAGCTACGAGCAGTGATTCTTTTAATTCCATCGCGATAATATTCTCATTCATAGTACGCTGCAAGGTGATGAAGACGAAGCTAAGACCACACTTTTTGTCTGTAAGGTGAGTCTGGACCGGCCAACATGCGATTGGTTTAGCTTCCGCATATGGAGTGGCTTACATCGGGGTGCAAACTGTTTGACGGCAGCTTGTGGGTCCACCTGAAATTTCTAGCAATTTCACTTAGGAAAATTAATCATCGACTGCCACTATAGGCATATAAATAACTGCACATTTTTGCGGGAATAACATTGATTAAACATTTTTAACTGCTTTGTGTGTATTACTGCTACCCGATTCATGGTTTTTGCACAGCTAATTGGGCTATATACTCCGACTCTCTTATCCCTAACAAACTCACACGGCCCGCGCACGCATGGATTTTTCTAATTCGATGGAGTTTGTCGAAAAACTAGTCGATTTTTGTGTGGAAGGAAAGAAACTTCTGCTGCAAGCAATATCCCAACGCGGCCTCTATAGTCTAAGCCGTGGCTGTTGACGGAGGCAGGATAACGTAATCGCATTAGCCGGCCGAGTTATTACGTATTATGCAGCCACATCTGAACCGAACATCTACGCATGAAATCTGCAGTCCACATCTACTTACTTCATCAAGCTCGCACGCAGAAATGAGCGCGCGGCGGCATGACAACTTCGACAGAAAAAAAACTGAATGCAAAACCTCTTGTTAAGATCTTTTCAAGAATCGCTGCCATTCAATAAATACTAAGCAATGCTGGAAGCCTCTGTTTCTATTATAGCTATGTAATAAAGGTCTCCGGTTTCTGGTGTGGCTTCTATAATAAATAGCCCAACTGAGCATGTTGTTTTCTGGTACTGGTAAGTGCGCTACAGCGATGGCATAAAGCGTACACAAATTAGACATATATTCTACCGTCACAGTTAACACTGTCAGAACACACACGCGCGCACGCACGCACGCACGCACGCACGCACTCACTCACTCACTCACTCACTCACTCACTCACTCACTCACTCACTCACTCACGAACGAACGAACGAACGAATGAACGCACACAAGCAAGAATACAAATCTGCACTCACTCATGCACACACGTACACAGACATACACACGCGAAAGCACACATATATACTCTCACACAAATGTGCACTCACGCACTCACTCTTGCACATACGCACAGGCACACGTCGGCACATGTACAGACACATGTACACGCACGCCCGCACGCACGCACGCACGCACGCACGCAGATAGCGCGCGAGAGAGAAAGTGAGACGTGCAGAGCGACAGGGCGGATGCGAACGAGGGAGGGATGGACGAGGGAGGAGAAGGGAAGAGGGAAGCAGAGAGGAAGGAGGAGGAAGAAGAAGAAGAAGGGGGATGGGGATGGAGGGAGAGGGAGAGAGTGTGAGCGAAAGAGATGCCCGCTCGCATGCACGCACATTTGAGATGGGATCTATACGTACAGTTTGTCGAGATTTTCGAGTCCCAGGAACATGCTAGCGTTGATCGTCACCAGCTTATTGTTTGAAAGGTCTCTGTAAACACACAGAAAACACACAACATGAGAATTTTCAACCAACCGAAACATATTTACAACACACAACGTTAGCTATGCTTCTACCGAAATACACCAAAACACAAAGTCAGTTTCCCCCACAACACGCACCAAAAACGCAACGTCAGTCACGCCTTTCTTCGAGCGAACCAAAAAACGCACAAAAAATCCCAATTTCTGTCCAAACACGATGAAATCGCACGAGAACGTTTTACAATTCGCCAAAATACAAAAAATTAACAATTAAAAATTAACAACTAAAAAAGACTATAAAAAAAACTTAAAATACAAATAAACGGGCTTGTATTCTCTCGAGACTGCCCAGGTCCGCGCAAGAGGTAGCAGACCGAGCAACACCGCGAGAGCGTGAGTCAAGGGACGTCGATTCAAGCGAGGTGTGGGGTGGGCACAAACTATCCGTAGGTTGATCCACACAGAAGCAGTGGCGCGGACAGCTTCCCAGGCCATAGTAGAGCTGCGTGGCGGACCCAGCCGCTGCGTGCGCAACAGTTAAATCTGCACTGACCGCTGACCAGGAACTGACGGGCTGCGCTTCAGCACTGACCAAACAGCTCGAGCTGCGCTGGACTGCTTAATAACCCCCCCCCACCACCACCACCACCACACGCACGCACGCACGCACGCACCCGGGGGGGCCACGCCACACACACACGGCACGCACGCACGCACGCACGCACGCACGCCACGCACGCCACACAGCACGCACGCACGGCACGCACGCACGCGCACGCACGCACCAACACCACAACACACACACACACTATCGCTACAGCTCTGCCACACACGCCGATAGCTCAGAACCGACCACTCGCCCCTCGTCCTACACCCTCGCCATGCATGACCACCACCACCACCAGCAGCAGCAGCAAGCCACGCCACCACACACACCCAGCAGCGCAGCAGCAGACCACCACCACCACAGCAGCAGCCACCACCACCACCACCGACCACCACCACCAGCAGCAGCAGCAGCAGCAGCCTACCACCACCGACCACCACCGGAGCAGCCCAGCACCACCACACCACCACTACCAGCCACCACCACCACCCACACCCACCAACCACCCACCACCACCAGGCAGCAGCAGCAGCAGCAGCAGCACCGCCGCCCACCACCCACCACCACCACACCTACCAGCGCACACAGCAGCAGCTCAGCAGCACCACCACCACCACCACCACCAGCAGCAGGCAGCCAGCACGACCACACCACCACCGCACCACCACCAGCAGCCAGCACAGCAGCCAGCACCACCACCACCACTAGCAGCAGGCCACGCGGGACACGCTTCCATGTCAGCAGCAGGACTTCATTAGACTTACAGACCCCCCTTCCCGCGCCCCGCCGTCGTTCACGGGCACGCGCGCGAGGCCGCGGACAGGGCAGTCAGTCAGTCGATCGGCATGCAGACAGGCTATTGATCGCACTACGGCAATCAAAGCGCCGAGCCGCGCAGCGCAAACTAGCCGCGATGGCTGCTTCTCTACCACGACGTCGGCGACAGAAGCGGCTGCGCATGGGACCGTTTCCACGCAGGAGGAGATCCGCTAGCTGTTGCTCCCCGGGATGCGAAATAATTTTTCCCACGCGAGTTCAGGATACACCATAGATAGTGTTTGGTACTATGCCACGCGTATATAAGCGTGTGAGTCGGTTTAAATTTCGTGTTTAGGGTTGCTTGTTGCTTAGCAATTCGACTTTCCAATTTGACTTCCATTGCTTCGAGGAAGTCGAGTGAATGGAGTGGCGACTGATGCTGTATTCCGGAACTCGCTGGGGGGAAAAAATTTTCGCCCCGGTATGCTTTTCTTGGAGAAGATGCCCGCGATGCTGATTCTCCCCCGGGCATGCCTTATTTCTTGGATAAGATCCCGCTAGCTGTTCTCCCACGGGATGCTTTTTCTTGGAGATGATCCCGCTAGCTCTTCTCCCCCGGGGTGCTTTTTCTTGGGGAAGATCCCGATAGCTGTTCTCCCACGGGATGCTTTTTCTTGGAGATAATCCCGCTAGCTGTTCTCCCCCGGGATGCTTTTTCTTGGGGAAGATCCCGATAGCTGCTTCTCCCACGTGATGCTTTTTTCTTGCGAGATAATCCCGCTAGTGTTCTCCCCGGGATGGCTTATTTTCTTTGGGGAAGATCCCGATAGCTGTTCTCCCACGGGATGCTTTTTCTTGTAGAAGATCCCGCTAGCTGTATCACCTCGGGATGTTTCCCTACGAGGAGATCCCGTAGCTGTAGTCCCACGGGATTGCTTTTTCTGGAACTGGTTACACCCTCCCTCCCACGGATGTTCTCCGCGGAGGAGATCCTCGCCTAGCTGCTATTCTCACGGGGCTGCGTCATTCCCTAATCGTCGTGCCGCTCTTACTGGTCGCGATTACTGTTAGGATACTTTGTGGGACGGCGGTGGAGACAGACACTTACACCTCACCTCGTTCCTCTCTCTGGTTTCTCTCTCTCTCTCTCTCTCTCTTCTCTCTCTCTCTCTCTCTCTACTCTCTCTCTCTCTCTCTCTCTCTCTCTCTCTCTCTCTCGCTTC